GCTGGGGTTGCAAATCTGTGGCTAATTTCACCTAAAACTTACTGCGAGGTTTTGCGGGTGCGTTTGAGCTTTGCCAGGCGTGTATGTCTCTTGTCGTTTGAAGCCAAAAGAGGTTTAAAAGCTCTTTCGGGGTCTTTGAACGGTGACTGTGGCATAACTCCGGGTTGCTCGCCCGTTCCCAGGTGGAAGGCTTTTCACAGTAGTGGGGGGCTGTCACGGAAAGAAACCCACCCGGGAATGATTGGGGTCTTGTGGAAAGGTGTGAATGGCAGCTGGCTTCTGGGGGTGTGTGTTATGTGCAACAAAATACATGGAAGCTAATGTTATGCATTATGAAGCAATAATAAAAGGTGGGAAAGGAAAGCCTAGATTGTGTAGTAGCAGTGCTTTAAGACTTGTGTGACAGGCACCTCTGTGAGAGGTGTAGTTAATACTGAACTGGTATAAACAGGAATTTAAAAAATAGCCCTTGATACTGTTTAGACATGTACTTTTCTCTGAAAAATTGTCAGCTGTTTCGAAAACAGCATAAATGCTTTTGAAAACTCCTTTCTGCATATTGGGTCATATTCATATGCTGGAAGGGGACAGCTTTTATTATCAAAACGGTAGTGCATAAAAAACAAAGGCAGAGTATTCTCCTAAATGCCCCCATACTTGAGAACCTTGCATTGAGCTTGATGCTTGGACATGCAGTGAAATTTTTTGTTTATTCAACCAAGTTCCACACATTACTTTATCACTCTTTGTCATTGTCAAAAATGTAATAAAACTTGGAAAAAGAGTTGTTGTCTTGCACCTTTAAAAGAAGTTCTGAAAGTTTGCAAAGCAGCATTTTATAAAGAGACTTAATGCACATCCTGCTTTTATAAATATGTCATTTTATTAAATCTGAAGATTTGCCTTCTAGAAAGTACTATGAAAGGTGTTTTTAATAGCATGCAGACATCTATCAGCCTGATAACTTCTTTTTTGGAATCTGTTGTTTCTATTTTATGTTTAGGTGTTGATCAGTGCATCCAGAAGTTTCTGGATGTTGCAAGACAAACTGAATGCTTTTTTCTGCAAAAAAGACTGCAGCTATCAGTCCAGAAACCAGAGCAAGTAATTAAAGAGGTATGTTTAAAGTAATTTACCTGTGTTGTGCTAGATCAGATAAGCTCTGTACCCCTACAGTTAATCACCTTGTTCACCTTAATTTTGGGTTTCTGAACGTGATGCTCTATCTTAAGTTGGTAGAACTTGACTGTTAACATCGCTCTCACCGTGAACCTGGAGAAGCTGGATGCTCGCTGCTCTGTGGTGTTGGAACACGATGATAAGTTTCATTGGAAGAAACAAACTAGTTAGTCAGATTTTGCTGAAAGTAATGATCTTTGAAATACGTGACCTAGGGGAATGGAATTAGTGCATCCACAGTGCTGTCCCTCTGTTTCATTAGACACTTTGCCGTTATTCGAATCCCTCGAAGATCAGCTTGAAAACTCCAAGTAAAAAAGTTGCGTGCTCTTTATGTGAGGTGGTTATTCTTATGAACACTGTCTTATTTACTAATAGACATTTTTTCATCCATAGGATGTTTCAGAATTAAGAAATGAATTGCAGAGAAAAGAAGCATTAATTCAGAAGCATTTGGGTAAACTGCGACACTGGCAACAGGTGCTGGAAGATATCAGTGTACAGCACAAAAAGCCTGCAGAAATGCCTCAAGGCCCGTTGGCTTACCTAGAACAGGCATCTGCTAATATTCCTGCTCCAATGAAGCAAACGTGATCTTTGATTTTACATATCTGAATATTTTCAACAATGCAAAGCAGTGGTGTTCTTTTTACTTTGTATGCTTTTTGTATAATGTAATTTGTACTACAAATATAAATAGTTAATTAAGCAAAATAAATGTTTGTTGGATTTTTTTAAAATATGGATTGGTTTTATATTTCAGTGGAAAATATGCAGAGTTGCTATGCAGGATGCTTTCTAGTAGAAGTGTGTTTTAGAGAATGTATCCTGTTCCTTCTAGAAAGGGTGGCCCTAGCTTTCCTCTTACTGTATCTTTGCTGGTATGCTGAAAATACTTGTGAAGATTACTGTTTGGTTTTACTGGAAGATTTCCGTGTTTTGTCATCCAGTAATTATCCGTAGGTACTACTGTAGAAGCACCCTTGGAATTGTCTGTATCTAGGTCAGATCAGGAGTGTACTTTTTTTGAAGTGAATTGTCCACCTCCACTGGACTTCTGCTCACCTCATGAAAGGGTCTCGAGATATACAAATTTGATTGTTACAGGATGAAATGAAATCGCAAAATGCACCCTGGTGGGGTATGTAATGCCGGCCTGGTGTTGCTTGTGGTCTGTCTGTCAGGCTCGTGTAGAGATGGCCCAAAATACCTACGCCCAAATAAAGACCACTCATGGTGGATGTTGGGTCATCAGCACTGTCCAGTCTATCGAATTAGCTTCTACTGGGGTGTGCTATTTATTAATCTAAATGTAGCCAAAAAAAGATTTTGGAGGGAGAAAGAGCAAAGGAGTCCTGTCTCTCTATTAGTAGGCAACAAGCTTAATCCATTCATATATCCAGGAAAGCTACTTCCTAGGGACACCTTTTTGGGGACAGAGTTAACTAATTAGAATATTGTAACTCTGGAGATTAGAATTAGTAATTGTGTATTGAACTTTCCAGTATGCTTTAAAAATTTTTGGGGCAGAATGGATGGAAACTGACAAAAAACTTAGCCCTATACATTTCTGATCCTCTCTCAGATACTAAGGCATGCCATGGTGTTACCTACTGTCCACCATTTTATCCCCTTCTTGGTTACATGTATAAAAAGTGTCTTTTTGCCAAATCTGATGCCAAAGTCTCCTTACAAACCAAGTAGTTCAACTAGACAGCTAGGATGAAAGTATTGGCCTGTAGAAGCATTCTGCCCCTTCTGCCACCTTCCCACCACCAGCGAGGTGCAGTGGCTGTTTGATATAAGAAGAGGTTGCGCTGGAGGTATGCCTCTTTGCACATGTAAGATTTGTTACACAGCTGGGCCCTGCTCGTTGAAACTCAATGGGGATTCAAATCGTACAGCAGTTGAAAATTAACTATCCTATCTTAAACACTAGGCTGCTGGTGGCACAATTCCCTGCCTTTTACATTTGTTGATGAATTACTTGAGAGTTAATTTCTTCATGGGTGTCTTTCCTCCCATAATGAGTTAGGTAGCACGATCTGATAAATGCTGTCATTCGCTCACTTTGCAGTTAGGTAGGCATTAGAACAATATTGAGACAGAATGTACAAGTACGCAGTCCCCATAAATCTGGAACTCTGAGTGTATCAGTCTGACTCAGACTTCAGCATAACATAAGACTATTTTGCAAAACATAGAAATGGATGATTTACAAGCAAGTTTTAATGTTCATACTTACATATTATCCTAATTTATCAGGCTGATACATGTACTGAAGTGCAGCAGGAATTTTATATTGCAATGCTAACTATACAAAACAGTTCATTAAGCAAACCAGAAAGTATTTCTAAACCAGCCTGCTATAAACATGCTATTCTTGGAGATACAGGGCATGCTGTACAGCTTAAAATAAGTTTAACAAAAACCTATTTAAAAACTTAAAAATCACTTTATTATATGCAGAAATTATTTTAAACAGCTGATAAAGCATATGTATAAACATACAGAAATCACCTTCAAGGTAAGATCTTTTTTCAGCTGGAGCTAGATTGATGGGACATATCAAAGACCAAATTGCATATGTGATGTAATTGTGGAGTGGTACAATCTCTTGATTAAAAAGTCTCTTCACATAACAATATCCAGAATTTTGCTTTTTCTTCATTTTTTACAGAGGTGGTTAAAAAAAATGCATTTTTCTAAAATCCATGCCTATAACTCCATAGTTATTAGATGTAAGAGAGTACAGTTGTTCTTAATAATTTACTTGGAAATTACTTTTTTTTTTTTTCCCTAAATCATACATTGGATTATCATTCCCTGAAAGAAAACAGGAAGAGCTTTTCTAGTAATTCTGAGAAGTATGGAAATAGCTTGCTTTAAAATGAAAAATACTTCGTAAACCATTCTTGATGCTGAGGGTCTTGTTTTTGGTCATCTTTGGTTTGTGGTGGTTCATTGCCATGTGTCCTGTGCAAACGAATAAACATTAGCAGCACTTACTTACTTACAAACTTATCAATATTTAATACCTTTTTTCTGGAAAAACTCATGATCCTATGAATGGACCTGTGCTCACATGAACTGGATGAGGCCAAAAGGTGCCAGCTACGATTTCTACTGAGATCTGTCCTGGCCAGGTAACTGTGCTAACAGCAGTGGTAGTAACACAATGGAAAGCGTGAATGAGAGCTATGGAGAAATGTTTTAACATAATTCTTGACTTGACATCTCAAAAGAATAAAAAAAAGGATGCTTCAAGAATATGAAGTCTTGAAAATCAGAAAATGGCAGCTGCAGTTCACTCTTTAAATATACAATTTATGCATTAAAAATGCTGGGTAAAAGTTCTGTTTGGAACAGAGAGATTTGTCTGAATATTAACCGGCTTTTATAACCAATCTGATTACATAGTGCCTGATGTTTCAGCATTCAGGATGCTTTTTTAACATTTATATTAATTTTGGTTAACTTATAGTAGCAAATATGACTTCACTTATGATTGATTGATTTAAAAGAGTAAGTAAGTAGCAGCCAAGCTACCCTCAGTCTCCCTGTACATTTCCCTTTAAAATACAAATCTGAATTGCCTTGGCAGTCATCTGGCATGACACAGAATGCTTTTATCTTTAAGATGTAGAAATTGCCAAACAGGATCCAAGCCTGTGTCCTGGGTTATTGTCTTGGCAGCAGTCAGCACCATCTGCCTTCAAAGAAAGAACTCTCTAGTGCACAATTTACAGGATAACTGATCTCCACTAGGCAACAGGTAAGAAGCCTGGCTTTTGTCCTGAAGTATAGTGGTAGGTTTTTTTTAAAAAAAAATTTTGTCATTCTAACTGTATAATGTTAACTACATACATTTTTAACTATTTCTTGAAGAGAAGGTTCAGTTGGTTATAAAGCACTAAACACTTTAAATAACTCACAAATTTGAAGAAAAATTCAAGCTTTTCAGAGAAAAACCATCAAACTAAGAAGTTTTTTGTTAAGTATCTGCTAATCAATTTTTAAGTCTCTAAACCCTTTGCCAAATGATTAGCCTAGATTCATTAAAATATCCCTAAAATAAAAACATGACATCTACATCTACCAAGTGCAAAGCAAAGAAACAACAGTAAGATGGAAAACACATCCTTAACAGAACCACTGATACATGGCGGAAGTCTTAAACAGCCAGGTTCACTATTAACTGTATTCTTAGTTAAACACTTGCAGCTGCTCTGTTTTTTTGTACCAGGAGGGGTTGCAAGTATAAGCTCTGCCGGGCAGTAATTATAGCCTACTTCTGCAGTAAAGTTATGGGTCTACCTGCAGAGAATTGAACACATGGAGTTCACTGCATGATAGGAACCTGATGTAATTTTTTATTTCGAAATGTCTAATGTGTTTGAATTGCCTACAAGATTCTGAATACCAATTCATTTATCATCTTACAAGTCACTGCAAAATGGACAAATACCTTGTGGCAATGCTGCTGTCTGAGGACTGTGCTGATGGAGAGCCCACCCCAAGGCAGCCAGGACTCCGGTCTAAGCTTGTAGATTTTGTTATTTGAGGAGCACTTCTTTTTGATTTCAGGTCACAGCTCAAAAAGCTCTTTGCGTAGGAAGCTAAATTCGGAACGCTGACAACACGACTGGGTACCTCAACCATTTTCTTCTTCTGCTTTTTATTATAACAGAAAACTTCATTACACATGCTTTTTTTTTTTTGACACTTTATACTATAAAACCTCAACAATACCTTATTCCAAGATAACTTGTGAGGACCACCCAAAAAATGAAGATTCCCATCTTTTGCTATAGGCATTTAAAATAAATTCTCAGGGTATGCTGAGAGGATCCATGGATTAGGTAGTCCAATTAAAACAACTTGTATATTTGACCTTGAGGTTTTAGATACATCAAAGCTGATAGCTTTGCAGAGCTCAGTTAGGTGCTTTCCAATTTGTCCTCCCTTCCTTCCATGATTATTTATAGACAGTATCATACAGAGGGGCTAGAATGACAAAGGGCAAATCCTGAGCAGCCCAAACATAATTCATAATTTTCTTTGATGCATGCACTATCCCAAATAGCAACTCCCAAATCTGCAAGGAGCTCCCAAATCTGTGAGCAACGGCTGTGCTTATCACAGTGGAAGACTGATGTCTTTGGAGTTCTAGTGTTTTATATTTGTTGAAACACCTGTATCTATGTGCATATATACTTCTACTGAATTTATGTTATACTCAGCACCTGACTGTAGGTTGGCTTACTGGAAAGAATTCTACTGAATAACATTTCCATAAAAAATTAATAGGAACTTTATTGTCCTGATAATCTGTATGATTCAAATAGCAATAAAACATAACAATTTGTGATTTTAATTGCATTGCCCATCTTACCTTCATGGAAGGAGTCAAGCATCCTGTATTAGGGTTGAAAGAAAATGATCGATTTCTGTAAGATTCACTGTTGGCTAAAAGTGAATGCTGAAATTTTCTTCCTTCCTGAGGGGAAAGAAAGTTATGTGTATGGAAACATCTATTTGTTGGAAGTTGGTATGGAAACATCTATTTGTCAAAGTATTCCAGAACAGAAAGTACTAGTCTAGAGCAACGTGTGAAACACTGAATAGAGCCTTCCAACAGATTCCAGAATAGTATGTACATATAAAAGGAAATCTTACTGCCAGCTGCTTGATAATCTCTTCTCTCTCACTTAATTTGTCTTGTAGACAGCTTATAAGGTGTGGATCTTCTGATCTGGACTCCCACTTTCTTGACTTTTCTTCTAATTCTTTAAGTCTGTACCAAAGAAAATGCAGACCAGAAAAAACTTCCTCAGACCAGGTTCAAGAGGTACCTGGGCTGTACTCTGCCCTGAATTCCAAGCCTAAAATACAGGGACATAGTCAGGCCTTTCTGATAAAACAGTGTTTTTAAAAAATGGGCATCTGTACATGGATTACATACAAGTATAAAATGTTGTGGAGTTCCAAAATAAATTGCTGCCAGGGTTAACCCACAACACCTGTTTAGTGTAAAATCCAGCCCCTGGTGTAAAATAGTAACAAGCTTGCCCATCACATTGCTAGTCTAGTTTCCTAAAGAAAAAAAATCTGTGTCACAGTATCTATGCATGTCTGCATTCACCTTTTTGTTCTCTTTTCTCACCCAATAACTTTAGAATCCACAGGCTAATTCCAGCCATATTTGATAGAGGCCTCAGAAATACTCAATTCCTGTAACTTTCATGAAAAGAGAGGCTTGGATACACCTGTTGCTTTAGTGAACCCTCTAAGTCAAAACCTGTAGTGTGAGTTCAGCTCTTTAAATGCTTTAATCACAGGAAAAGATTCAAATGAGAACTTACACCTTCTTAGAGATAGTGTGGAAATATACATTTGATTGACCCATAAGAAAACAAGTCATTATTTCATCAGCCAAGTTCATGAATTTTGCTGCTTGAGAAACCAAGTGCTATGAAGTTGACCTGCCATGCAGAGAAATGTATTCCAGAATACAAACCACTATTTTGTCGTGTTTTTTTCGTGAGGGTTAAACATTTTTGAGAGGAGACCGTGTGTCCCCCCCCATCTTATACTCTGAATTTAGTGTATCACAGAGTTTAGATAAAAAGATAAATCTTAGCATCTGAATGGTTTGAGACCTGCTTACATGCAAGTAGGTCTCTCTTCTGGACCTATGCCGCACAGCTGGGATAAGACAAAAGGACAAGCGATGTATATAATCACAGGGATTGTTTCTGAGGGGCCTCTCCTGTACAGTCTGAAGCACCACAGAACTACTTAACTCCACAGGGGGCTGCAAAGTGCATTTATTTACATGATTTATTGGGGGCTGTCCTGGGAAATTTGCAAGGGAGTGAGAATGAGCAAAAGCTTAACCTCAAAGATGCTGCTTTGCTGAACAAAACTAAGTACAAGATCATGGATCAAGGCCTCTGGTATCATCTGTGACAAAGATGATTTTACACTTCATAAAACTGCAAGATGCTAAGTGCAGATTTTCATTTAGCATTGTAAAACTTTATGTACAGTGATTTACATTAAACAATATTCAGAGTTTATTACAATATATCTCGGTCTTTTTGTGTTTGCAAAGGAAATACCTATACACTTCTATTTCAGTGCTTATAATATTCTACCTGTGAGTAATAAAAAAATTATTCCTACTAAGAATAATAATTTCAAACAGAACCCATTGCCAGTATGAGCCAGAGTTTATTTAAATGACTTACTCAGTTTCTAAGGAGAAAATTTTTGCTTGGAGATGTGCCTGAGTGCTGCTGAAATCAGATAATATGTTTTCAATGTCCTTCTGGCAATCTTGTTTCGGTATGATCAGTTCTTTTTTATGCTTGATATTGAGGTCTTCTACCAGTACCCTTTCATTGGTATTAAAATATGTCAAAATTGTCACATTTCAATACTAGTTTATCATCATTGATCAAAGCATGCAGTTTTGAGGTCTTTTACTGACTACAAAGGTAGTTAACTGAGTGCAGCTTGGGGCTTCTGCTTACTGATTTGACTTTGACACTTCAGTTGCAGTCTGAAGCAGAACCACACTAACACTGAGGAAGAGGAAGATTATTTGGAGAAGTACTTGATCTTCAGCCTTCAGGAAATGGAGGGTCCATTCTATATAATGATGCTGTTGATACTCTGTGTACAGTTAGTTTGTACATCAGTCTTAATGGTCAAACATGATAATGAAGTACCCTAGGAACTCACTTGTATTAAGCAAAATTATTTTGAAATATCTGGGATTTTAAGATGAGGCTCTGATGCACCAGAAACATTTAATATTGCCTACCACCATCCTAAAAATTTTTTTTTAAAGAATGAAGGTAAGAAACATTACAATAATGCCTTTAACTACATTTGTCTTTAACAGACAATGTATTTTTAAAGATACTGCTATTTGATTAACACCATCAATTGAAAACTAAAAAATGCCTAACATTTTTTCAAACCTGGCCATAATACTGCTTTCTGATACCAACCTCAAAATCAACAGACATCTACTGAAGAATCATTGTTTAGCTTGTTGCCTTTTGTTTGCTAACATTTTGTTAAATCTCGGAGAAACTTTTTCATTAACTCAATGAAGAGCCGATGTTCTGTTATTTAATGATTAAAATAGAGATGTTAAACTCAGCAGATTAACAATTGTAATTTTCACAAAATATATTCTGTTTAGCTTTTTTTTTTCTTTTTAATGTATTTCTAAGCCCCTTTCATTTTTTCTGAAATGCTCTGAACGTTTCTGCCCTTGAAATTAGAGCACAGCCATGGGAGTGATTGCTTTGGCACTTGGCACAAAATAAGAAGCAGAAGAATAAGAGTAAAGATGGGAGCAGAATCCCTGAAATGGATCTTCAGGGGTAGAATAAAAGCTCTTCTTCAGAATAGGCATTTTGGGGCTTGTCCTCTCTTCCCATAAAAAAAACCTTTGTCTGCTCTCATCCTAATCCTTGCAAAAGGTTTCTGTACTGGAGGTGGAATTCACACAATTCAAGAGAATGGAAATGGGAATGATTACTTCAAGCACATTACTGGTTTCACTTACTTGGCAACAGTAGGAATAGTAATTTTAAATAATTGGTTATAAAAATTGGGCACACGCAAATAACAAACCACTATCAGCTTTCAAATCAGAAACAGCAATATAGTATAAGACAAGGTCACTGTTATTAAAGTAACCGGAAAATAACCATTAGTTATGCACTCACCGATTTAACTATTCCCCTACCCAAATTACTGGTCCTGCAAAAGCAAAACAAGAGCTACAACTTAATGGTCCGGATCTTCCATGGGTTAATTTCAGAGCAGCCTGTATCAGGTGCCTAGCACCATTTGAGCTCTTTGGCTCTACCTCCTGTTATTTGAAGGATTTCCTCCTTACCTAATTTCCATTAATGCTTCCTTCTCAAATGCTTACTGTAGTAGAGCTACACCATTTATCCCCTGTAAAGATTATCCTCCAGCCCAGCAGCTTTAGCATTTGAGGCCTTTTAGACCTCATCACTGACATGTGAATAATTCTTCTCTTCATGAACAGAGGCTCTAAATTCCTTCAAGGTAGCTGGAGGGCACTGCTGAAACTCTCTGGTTTGCAATTCTTTCTGTTGATCTTGCTTCAAAAGCTTGAAATGAAAGTCACTTTCAACTAACTCTCTGAAGACTGCAAAGTTAAAAAAAAAAGTTCCTTTCTCATTCTTTAAATATCTGCTGACTGGCAGACAGCAATGGAATTACTCTGGCCATTCTGACAGTCTGCTGAGAGACACTGTATCCCATGAGTGCTTTTCTCTAGACCATATAGGACATAATTTTAAAGATTCCTTTAAGGGTATACTCTTCAGAAATCCTTTTATACATACACCTTGAGTAGTTAGGGCCATACATTCTACATCATTGCAGAAATTAACTGAAAGGTACCCATGCACCAGATCCCTCAATCTCTCTGCAAAGAGAATGTGTTAAGTATGACCATCCAGAAATTTCAAAGGATTCAACAGCCATACACATGCACTGAATAGTGAACCCCAGTCTTGTCTTCCATGTAAACGGTAAGTCCTGTACTTTTTCTGTACACAAATGGGAAGACTGCTATTACTGCAATGCAACACACGCTCCAAGCCTGCGGCTACACTAAGAGGATGCCGTCCACCTTTTACAAGACGGCCAACACAAGTCAGCTTGCCCTTCATGTGCCCTGACAGCATATTACTGCTCCAGCTTGCAAGCCTCCATCAGCCCAGAGGCACAGTCAGTGTCCGCTATCGCTGCCCTTACTCCCACAGTGCAAAGCTGGCTGTTACAGCCCAAGCAAAGTCTTACAGAGTACATATGGCATTCTCAAGTGTCCCCTTTAGAGTTAACAACCCATCGGTTTCTTCTACAGAGAGTACATATAAAAAAATGATATTTATTCTCAGAGACTTGTACATTTTTTTCATAGCTCTTGGGTGAGTTTGGGATTTGTTTATGCCTTTCAAAGGCTGATGTGCAGATTTTCTCAGGTCATTCCTGTGGGGCTACACTGGACATATTTCTCTGTGACATATAACGAACAATTAGTTCAAACGCTTTTATTATGACTGGAGAGAAATATGAAGTGAACTACTGCTTTTACAAAACTCCTAACCTCTAAAATTAGTACTTTGGAAAGGAGACATTCTGACACTCGTGACATTTAGAACAGCTCTGATGCTGGCATTATTATTGAATCTCTAGATAGCACTGTGAAGTGTGAATTTAAGCCAAACCTTCTGTGCTGTTTTTCCCTATCCTGAAGCTGTGCAGCTTCTTGCTTCTGCGACTCCAACTCAGCACTGAGTAGCTCCATTGTGTCCTTCAAAAGTAAATTCTCTTTCTTGAGTTTGGAAATTTCATTCTGACATTTTTCCAGTTCATCATGAAGAGATCTGATCTGGCTCTGGCTACTTCCTTCCTAAGAAAAAGGCCAAATTTAGTTATTCACAGCCTCTTATTATTTAAAGTGAAGATCTCACTGGAATTGTGTGCATTGATTTTTTGTCAACTGATTTTTCAATTATATGTGCAATTCTACATGCAAAACAAAATCTGTGATCAAAACTTCCTGAACGTGTTTTAGAGTCTCTATAAAATTTATTTTATTGTAACATTCATTCATTTACTTGTGTTGCAGATTCTGATCTTTAAATGGAAAAAAAGCCTGCCCATAGGGAAAAGATGATAAGCAATGCTAACATTTTAAAGGGGGACATAAGGTAAGGAAACCCATTCCATTTCTCTGAGAGACTCTGTACACTTTTATCATCTCTGAAGAGAGAAATTTGATACTATTGCTTTCAGAAAACATGGCAACGAAGTAGAACTGGATTCTTGCCTGTTGCTTCTTCAGTGTCCTCACACTCTTCAGCTCCATTTGGAGTTCTTCTATTTGTTTCTTGAGATTTGTGCACGATGCCTGTTGCTCAGACAGTTCCATCCTTAGAGATCCTAGTAACAATCAGAGACAATCATTAAGACAGTCAGAGGCCAGCTGGATGGGGAAGGTAGATATAGACAATGTAGATGTCTTAATACATTAATTAATGTAATAATGTGGTAACTACATTAATATATTACATTTTGCCTTGTTCTTCAACTCCTTTGCCATTAAGTATCATGGCCTCCTATTACTAGAGAAGTAACTCAGTTAAGCAATAGTAAAAAGATACAGAGCTACAATAGCAATGATTCAACATTGGAATCAGAGGGGTAATTCTGTGGCAGTTGTTTTGCAGACTAAATCACTGTAATTGCTTCTTCTAAACCTTGAACTTTACTGGAGCACCCCTGAGCTTCCCTGTTAAGTCTGCTGGTGTTTTATAGAGGGCCATAAGGCAGACTGAGGAGAGCTCTGGTTGTGTTAGAGCAGTACAACACTTTATGTAAGCAGATCTGTCATATGTTGCAACTTTTGTGTATATTGGGTACAAGTTTTAGGATGGATCAAGTACAAGGAGAAAGAAGTTCTCTCTCTGTGTTGCCTTGCTACATTTTTTTCTTGAAGAAGTACAGAATTTATCTATTGAACATATAAACTTTAGAGAACAACAAATCTTTCTAGCAAATCTGAATTACTGAAAAAAACACCGAAGAAGATAATGCAGTTTCTACTTAAAGTACTTTCAAATTATTCTTTCTTTAGTTAAAAAAACTTTCATAGATGAGCTTTAATAACCTGAGTTCAAACCTGGAGATATTACAGGTCCTCCTAATGCAGTGCTCTGTTTAGTTCTCAACAGTTCAGGGAACTTTCTAAACTGACTAAACAATACGTATGGAACAACTGATCTCCACTGCTGAACTCAATAGAGCAGACTTGAACCACATACAATAATTCTTCACATCATAGAAAAAAAGAGGAAAGTCATATACACTAACTACAATATTCCAATTTAATATACCTGATAATGCGTACTTGAATGTTGTACACCAGACTACTCTCCCAGCAACATTCTGCTGCTGACAGTTGAGAGCTAGGGTAACAAAGAATATTAAGTCTGTATTGCTGAAATTGCAGGGTATGGAAAAGGAGATTCACAAAGACCTGAGTTCCCAGAGGATGAGGAAGAAAATATCCCAGCATATAATCAAGCAGTAGGAGCTGTGCATGACATGAGACATTATACCTAGCAACAGGGTTTGCTGCTTTTGTATCTGCTCGAGTTCATCATGTAATTCTTTCTTTGCTTTCTCTTCCAAGGTTTGTATTTCCAGCCTATGAGACTGATGTTGGATCTTGAAAGTCTCATTAAATTCCTTTTTCAAACGTTCTTCTGCCTCCTGTAAGCAAAAGCACACCCCCCCCGCCCCCGAAAACAAAGAAGTTGGACGCTGTTTATCACCTTGTTGTTTTACTTGTAATGCCAGGATGAATCTGGTCTTTCATTGTAGAACTTTTATTTTCATCACCACTTTACATGACACTTCATCAGCACAAGAATAAAAATGAGCTGAAGTTAAAAAATAACACTTAACAGGTATAAGAGAAATTATCATGATATCATCTACTAGATTTGTTGTACATCATGAAATAACAACACTGACATCTTTGCACTATTTGACATTAGAAACGTGTTTTATTATTCAACATACAAAGCCCCTCAGATCTGACCTGTATGTCATTACTCATCACAGTGTGTTAGACAAAGGATTCTATCTTTCCTTGCATTGTTCTTGGCTAAAACTTCCACTGTTGTTAGAAGTGCTGCTGATACACTGTAAATGACAGAGCAGTTGCTCTGTAGTGGCTCTGAAAGAAAACTCCTATTCTCAGTTTTTTAACAGCTTACTGCCTTCAGCTTGGTTTTGTTAAAGCTAGGATTTTATTCTGAACATATAAACAAGATATTAAATTCTACTTAGGGTGGTTTTACTACATATATTTTATAAGGAGGTTTTCCCTAAGCTGTGTGATATCAACAGGGACATCTGAACTCCATGTCACAATCACATGCACATTTTTTAAGTCAATTTTTTTTCTCAAACAGCAACATTCTTTAGAACGTCAATATATTGCATTAACATTTTGTCACTGAAATAAATCCCCTCGAACCTTTAAAAGCTTTGGTTATCCACTTACAGAATTGATTTCTTGAAGGTATGTAAGGCAATACACATCATTATACACGTCTACTATACTTCTTTTAAAGTATTTATGTATAAATTAATGATGGATGAAAAAGAATAAAACTGAGTCCTGTTAATAATACACTTAGGAATTCCCTTCTATTTCTGAAGCAAGTGCAGAGCTAGAGGAGCTTATATTCATTGCAGCCTAACTGTAGAGGGTAGGCTATATTATTTTATGAAACTATTTCATTCACACTGTGGTCTAAGTTCAAATGTTAAAATTAAAAATAAAAAAACACCAACCTGAAGATGATGAGGTTTCAATATCACAGAATAATTCATTATGTGCAACAATGGCAACTCATCATTAAGATAACTGAAGATAACCGAGTTTTAATAATCAGCTCTAGCCAATATAGTTTATCCCACCAATACAATTTTTTTACACGACTGTGTCGTAAACTGACCTTGAGTTCCTGATTTTTGCTTTTCTCCAACATTTTTAAGACTTTTTGATGTGATGCCTCCAGCTGCAGTTTAACATTCTGGTTTTCTTTAATGGTGTTTTGAAGATCCTGCAAAAGCTTCTCTTTTTCTTTGTTGGACTGTAGATTATGTTTCTTCAGTGACTCCTTGAAATTATTTGCTTGTTGGTCTAATATTTGCTTCAGCTGAGCCACCTTCCAGAAAAGTAAGTCAGCAGGATAGGATTAATGGCTGCATTCACAATGGAGAGGAATTATATAAATTTGAGTACATTTTATGAACTTGTGCTGCTCTATGAAAAATAGCAAGATGCTTTTTTCGTGCAAGGAACCCTTTTTTCAGTGAAGAATGATATTCCTTTTGCATATACTGTCTGTTGCCCATCAAGTACTTTTCTTAAATTATTTCTTTTCAAATCGTCTCCATCTCATACGTACAATCCATAGTTCAACTTGCGCAATAATCACAGCACAAACCAGGAGGCAGGCCTAAGGCTGTGCTTATTGTCATCCTGGAGATATAACACTGTAGAGTCCATTTACATAAAGCAGTAAATTAGAACCAATAGGAACAAGAACGCTTCAGATATGTTTTATTTTCTCCCGTCTCTTAGTTTAATTACTAAATACAGTAGACATGCCTATAATGGCTGACACAAAAGTAACAAAAAAACCTGTTTATAAGAGTAACTTAGTGTGGTTTGTTTTGGTAGGAAAGGAAGGAAGGAAGAGTGTTCTCTTTTCTATTTGATAGGTTTTCTCAACTTTCAGCAAAAATTTGTATTTGCCATTCTTCTTAAATTTGCCATTCCAAACATCATAGCTGTGAAGTTCTGAAAAACTGCCTTCTGCATAAAAGGAGCACGCATACTTGGTATGGCAAATTAGTGTTTTTGCTGCAGCATCTGACTTTCAAGTCAGATTTTTTGCTCCGCCATACCTCCTGCAAAACCTTTATGCCTCTTGCCTTTTCTTTTGGGGAACATGTGAAAGAGGATGGTCTGTTTTCCATTTTTTATATACTTGTACTTTTCAGCCTTAGAGAAACAGAATTCAAACTATGCAAAGGAAGAAGTTTGCATCCTTACGATTTCATGTGACTTTAAATGCTTCAAATGATGTTACACACATCTGCAAATTGGATACGACACAGATTATAACCTATGACTCCATCCTAGTCTTACCTCTACACTAGTACATGTTCTTTTTCTCTTCAGTGTTGCTGCATTTTTTTTCCATGCATACTGTAGACAGACTGTTAGCTGAGGAAGCACTGTAGCTTTAGCTAGCTAAATAGTTGCTTGTAACTTCAACTGGACACTTGTGGTCCTTTTCAATGCAGCACCACAAAAGCTGGATGAAGATTTACTAAGTGGGCTAAGGTGTCTATATCCTTCCACATTTCATTCTCATAGGACCTTCCAGTATATTTTGTGTTATGTAAAAGAAAAGGAGGCATGATGTGCAAAGCCCTTACTTCTCAGTAACTTCATGGCCATGGTCAGCATTGTGCTGTCCAAAGGGAGATATGAATGAGCCATGCCAGATCTCTCCAAATCACAGGAATCCTTTCTGATATTGGCTAAATGTACTCCTGCTAGCTGTTCTTTCTCACATTCACTGGGCATGCTGGCTCTTCTCCTCCAAAGGATCTCCTTTCCCGCTCCTGAGGCCCTTCTCCATTCCCAGGTGGATCACTGCCCTTATTCAAGTGCTCTCTAAGCCTCTACTATTGTCATATGTTCCCAGCATAGAACTGTGCTCTGAAGGCTCAAAATGCTGCAAACCACAGAGCTTGTATCAGTCTCCAGGGTTTCAACTCCTTTCGGAGAAAGGACATTCTGTATTCTCACTTCATGACCACAACCTTCAACTACATTGTACCTTGACTTGTCTTCCCTTCTACTCCTGATTTCTGCTTTTACCATTTCTTGGCATCTGCTTCCTTCTCTCTAGAATTTATACAAGTCTTTATGTCCCAGAAATGAATCCTGACATTAAAGAAGAAAAATGAATGTGAACCTTCTTTTTTTGGAGACACTCACAGCTTAGAAAGAATTATTCCTTCTTGATCAATTTGTCCTATTTTAACTGTTTTTTTCTACAGAGCAACTAAATAAGGGCCTAACAACATTGTAAAAACTTGCTCTGTTGGGTCTGTTGGTAGTTTATAATTTTGAGTAAAAAGTTTGCGTTCACAGAATATGAGATGAAGATGATTTGTTTCTGTATAAGCACTATTCATGTGAAACACAAATTTTCATGGACTTCATCTGCTGTGGAGATAAATCAAAACCTGTTACTTGAACACAAACATGTATCATGAGAACTACATAACTTCCTTTACTAAATCTGGTTTCTGTACCTCTGTAGCAGCTACAAGAAAGAATTACTGTCCCGTTTTTGAGCAGGTTTATGGCTGCAGAACTGCTGATCCAATACACAAGTGAGTATACTGTGTTCCTTCTATATAAACAGAGCTTGTCCTTCACTTCAAATTCACAAGTCAGGCTCCTTTTCTCCTACTAATTGGTGGTGGTCATTACTGATCATCACTGATCTTGTACTTCAGTTTCCCTCTGAACCCCTTCAAATGGCTTGCTCACAAAGGGCCATACTACTGTTATAATTAACGTGGATTTCCTTTACCAGATGGGTTAGTGTGCTGTGTTTGAACTTCAAAGTTCCTCAGCTTTATTACTGATGTTTCACATGTTATGAGATCTACAGCAGTATTTGTAGTTTAGACATGACAGAAATCTGCAAGGAGACATGAACCTTCTTAAAAAACTAGCAAAGCTACCAGCTTGGGCAGTTGATTTCCTCCTATTTGGTGGCCAAACCAAGCAATCGGTAAAACTTCTACTTAAATAATCCAAAAGAAACATTTTTGAATGTACACATCAAAATGAAAAATTGAAATATTTCCTCCTGACTGAATTCAATGTTTTTAAAACTTAAATTATTTCGTCATTTGCAAGGAGATAAATGGCTTTATTCACAGAACACAGGGGAGGAAAAGATGGCAGCAATGGTTCTGATTTGTGTGTGAGAGAGAAAGTAAGCATGGAGGCACAGAAAAAACAAGAGAACAAGGAGTACATGTGTGTGCATATGAAGGTAACTGGGACACTTACCCAAGTGATGAAGGCCTAGGTTGTCCAATGACAACTTAATATACAAGTGAAGAAGTGGCAACAGGTGACACACTGTAGCTCACCCTGTTTTGTCCTACAACTCAGTGACAAGGTGACTCTTTAGAAATGGTGAGAAAGCTGACAGAAGAAAAAAAAAACACAAACAAAAAAACAAACCCAGGTCTCCCCACATCATGGGAATGCCAGGTTGGTAGATAAGAAGAAAACAACCATTCCTTCACCAAGTGTTTTATGAATCAAGTTTTTTATCTTGTTCTCTTTTAAGTGCCAGAAAACGAAAGATTAGTTTTACCACTTCTTAAACAATTTCAAATCAACATGGTACATTTCAGTTTCACTGGAGCTATCCAACCAAATTGATTTGAGTTAGCAAATTTGAAAGAACACAGCTTCAGCTGCCCCAAACTGTGAGTTTAAGTTAACTAATCATCCCATCATTTCTTGGCTTCTTCCATTGTGTCATCCAATTAAACATAAAGAAAACTATCTGTCTGAACAAACTAGTGAAGAATAATTGCTCAATATTATTCTTAATAAAAAACATTAGTTGTCTTTAATGTGTCTGTGAGATGGGATCTATCTGTGGCCTGGACATACTCCAAGAACAGGCAGATGCCAGAACCACTTGCCAACCATATCTTTGTTTCCAGAGCTGCTGCAATTTTTGTGTATTATTTCTTTGAAAAATAAGTGGTAAATCATAAGATTTAACCAAAGGGGCACTTTGGCTTCTGGTTACAGGGAAAACATTTACTCTGTCTTAATACCTATTGAACTCAAGCCAATGTTTTCCTATATAAAGAAAGGAAACACTGAATTTTTTAGGTACTGCAGTTCCTTATAAAACTAAGCTTTGATGTGAAATACTTAATGCTGTACAATCCCCTGTATCAGCTGATGCAATATGGATTAACATTACTACACTCAAGCATGCATTTCTTTTCTGGGCTTCCTGAAAGTGAGCCAGTGAGTAAAAAGGATGTGCCACAAGAGTAGGCTGGATATTTTCTAATAGAAAAATTGGAAACAGGAAAAATGTCACTTGGAATATTTCTTTTGCAAATTAGATATTCATCTAGGCAGGAAAGACAAAAAGAGGCGTGCATAAACTTCAGCTGTGGTCACAACATTATTAACCTTCCGGACTCTCTTCATAGACAATTGGTTCAAGCATTACTAACATGAAACATAAAATGATACTAACTAGAAATAGGCTAAGCAGAGAACATAATGTTGTAAGAAAACAGATGGAAAAGTATTTATAACAACACTGGCTTTCAGTGATTTCAGGCAAAAGACCTACACGAATATATCAGGCATACAAACAAAAAAAAAATGAATCCTGCTACTTCTAACTTATTAGAGGTTAAGAAAAAAATATTTCCATCCCATCAGGCTTCCTCCTCTTGTCTTTCAATTAAAAGGGCTTTCAAATCCACCAGTGCAAATCCTTCTCTGGAATATTTTGCAATGCCCAGGCATTTTATTGTGTTTCATTACTTCAAAACAGACAGCCAGATGCCCAATTTGTTTAAATTGGTAAAGCAACACTTAATCCAATGAAACTGTCAACTCACATCAGTCCAGAATCTGTTTGGTTCCTTTTACTATTAACAAACCAGCAACATTGTGTGATTTTGTGTTTGATAATGTCTTCCTGCTGCAAAACAAAACCTCTTGAAAAAACTGTACCTCTAATACCATTATTCATTCACTTTTATCCACCAGAATTGCATAAAGTGGTCTTAAAGATGCAACTAATACCTATCCACAGTATAAACTCTAGGCAAAAGTACTTTTCTAGGCTCTGCTTAATTCCTTCCGAATTTCAGGGTTATGTTTGCACTTGCCCTTTCTTACAACAGCTGATTTTGCCCCCCGCTGTCTTCCAATTAAGGAAAAAATGAACAACTAGTACTAACAGATGACAGATAAGTTTTGAAATATTTCAAAAGTTTTCCAAGTTTCATTCTTTTCTAACCATAATTACTGTCCTTCTTATGGGAAGGATGGCTTGATTCTTTTGAAGAAGTACTTCTCAGACTTTAATAGCCCATGAGTAAAAATACTGGGCAAGTATAAGGCTGTGCATGCCATCACAGTTGGCTCCCTGTTTGACTTCTGCTTTGATTATTTTAATTCACTGTTCTTGCAAGCACTATGAATACTTGAACTCTATCTTATGTCTGCTCTCCCCTTCTTTTATTTATTGTACATAAGAAGTGTGAAATCTCAAAGGCAAGATCTAAAGTTGGAATCAGAGAGAATATTTTGACTTCCTGTATCTTTTAAGTAGAAAGATTGGAGTTTCTCAATGCATTGCTAGGGGATGAATTTATAGAAAAGACTTAAAACTGCCTTTTGATGTATTATACAAGAGTCACCACAATTGAGAATTTGTTCAGAGTCAAAATAAGGCACCCAAATGCTACAGAGTTTTACTTGTACTATTATGCTATTACATCAAAATGGCAACATGGTATAAGAAGTTGCAACAAAATAATGAAATTATATTTTACTGTTGTCTTTAGGCTTTTTTCACAGTTACTTCAGTTAAGTTCACAGTTAACTGCATTCCTAAACTTGCGGCAATCCCTGACCGGAGGGACAGGTGTGAACACAGTAGGCACACCTTTACTGCTGCTATTTGATGGTACATCCAAGATCCATCAAGGCTCTGGGCATTGCTGTGCTAACATTGTCCAAAGATCTACGATGATGCCTGTGCTTCCATTTTATATACCTTCTAGTTCCACAATAGCCCCTTTAACACACGTTGAAGACATCCTGTAGTGCAAAAGCAATGAAATCTAATAAATTAGCATTTGACCCACACAGAATCTCCCATCCTTCCTTCCAAAGGACCAAATAGGTGTGAATTTGATTTCTCTATCCAGAAAAATCTCATTAATACAGAAATACTGCCACTTTGAAGTGTACCCCCAGAGAGATTAAATTATCGTGATTCTGTCTACTCTGCACAGTGCTCTAGCTATGTCAGCCCAACCAAAAACATGTCTTATGCAGCCAAGGAAGCTATTTTTAGATCTGAAATTGTATCCAGGTTAGAACTGGATTAGTAACAGCACATTGCCTAACCTTTGAGGCGGAAGCTCTGGGCTGAGCCATTGCAAAGGTTCCCATCTGGGAATCATGCCCTCAGTGAAACATAATGTTGTATAGTAATGGTGGTTTCTTGGCTGTGAATATTCATATATCTATAGAAGGAAAGTATTACAAGCTGAAATTACATCACTTCCCTGGAAATACTGCCAAGTAATTTGTTCAGAAAGTAACTTACAGAGTACCAAGAGAGATGCAAAATTTCTCTTCAGAGGGAGCATTTCCTCCTTTTGGGGAGCATTGTTAGATTCTAAGATACACTGAAACGTTTCGTAGTGTATTGGTTCATATTTACCATGGTGTTGTGAACATAACATATGGCATGATATATACTAGTTTATATTATTTATTTATATTTATGTTTATAGTGACAATAATTTCCCACCACCCCTTGCATTACCATGATCTCATGATATGAGAGGTCTAGCAATTAGGAAAAACAGGTTTCTTTCCTGTTCTTCTGTCCTGAATGTGTGACTTCAAGAAAACTAATTTGATGACTCACTGCCTTACTTTTTCTATCTGCAAAATCTGAAGAATAATTGCTTCATGTCATAAGGCTTTTGATTTTTGATTTTTTTGACCTTTCACTGGGATACACCACCTGCATGCATATACACAATACTGACAGTGTACCACTACTCCTCCCTTCCACCTCTTCCCCTCACACCTCAAACCAGTATAACTTTCAGGCATTACCCAGTGTGACACCCAGGGATACCAGAATATCATGGTAAATTTTCAGCTGTGAATGGACTAAGATATTTTTGTAGAAAAATGTACATTTAGGGGAATTTGGAAAAGAATAAAGACAACTAATTTCTGACAACCCATGTTCTGCATTAGGTGCAAAGAAGTCATTCTGGATAGGTCAACACAGGCTGGATTGACCTGAAATTCTCTCAGAGAAGAACCTGTAGAAAACGGTGGCATGCAGAAATGTTAATGAAACCTAAAAATGGGATTTAGCCAGAACTTTAAGAATATTAAGAACTACACTTAAATTCTGTATTTCTAAGACTAGGAAATGGGTAGAATGTCAGAATGCAACTGTTTGGTATCAGAATGTACAAATCTGTTTTACAGGAGAAACGAAAGGGAAAAGACCATGCTGCAGTCAGAACTAGTATAGCCAGTATAGCATGAATAGGGGAAAAAGCAGGTGTTACATAGCAAATGACCACAACACATGCCCTGATTGCTGGAACATGCCACACCAAGCAGTAGTCATGGCATGTGGGAAAGCAGAAGCAGGTACGAGAGGGGGGCCAACATCTTGCTTAGCCCTCTGATGAGCCTATCTGTCCTTTTTCTGTCTTCAGACACTCAAAAAGAGCTTATTATAGCCACTCAGAGTTTACAGATGCCTGCTGAGAAAGATCTAGGTCTTCAACTTTTGCGGAGCTGTTGCCATGCAAGCTCCCACTGAACTTGCCGGAAGTGAAACTGGATAGAATCAGTGACAGTACAATTATAGACAGCCACTTAGAACAACAGTGGCTATCTGTAATTCAGTAGTTCAGTGTGAGCTACCTAATTCCTCTTGTTCATTACTTTTTCTTGAACTAGACAGAAGTTGTTTTCTATATTTGGGAATATCCTCATTTTGCTCAATAAAATCTTGGAATCTGAAATCCTCGATTAGCAGAAAAAAACAAAGAAATGGATGACAAATTCTCATGATGAAAACATGTCCATTCAACCATAATCTCCCAGAATGGACAATCACAAATCATTTTATTGTTCTTCTGAAAAATGCATCAAATGCAATGATACACTGGGTAGAAAAAATGAATGCAGCACTGAGCATTATCAGAACTTTTCACTATGGCACTGATTTCAGTTCTGTTAAAGCAGTTGTTTTATAGCTTATCCATGTGATAAAAGTATCAAAATGTTCACAGGCAAAAACTTCACATGATGACACTGAAGAAAAGGAAATATCCTGTGCATAACATTTTAAAGCAGATAGATAGCATTTGCCAAAAAGAACTGAACAACACAAAAGGAGAATATTTGAGAGGGAGAAAACATGTATTCACAGTTGTCAGAAATTTCAAAGGTGCACTGTTTACTTGGGTAAATAATTGCCTTGCAGGGATTCTGCTTTTGTTTTGGCAGAAAATTATTTATCCAATCTGTTAGGGCTTTTCAAATAATGACACTTTGCTGTATAAATATTTTGGTAGATGTACTAATCTGGAAAATTTACATCACTTGGTCTGCAACTGACTATACATTACAGGTGGATAATCTAATACTAACACATCTCAGGTATTTATTTCCAGATTAATCCATGTCTGCAGATTTGCATTATGAATTAGGTGTAACCAGAGTGGGGAACAGTACATAAACTATGATATCCTCAAAGCTACTTTGGGATCACAATGCTTTCTCTATTTCATTCTTGATCTTGAGAACATAGAGGGAGGCATACCTAACTACGACTATATTCTAGATTATTGTACATTCCAAACTGCTTCAGTTACCACCCCTACCACCAAGCAGACAGAACAGAAGCAATGATCTATTTGACCTTTTTTCCATTCAATTCTCTTGCTCAAGGGAGCAAACAAACAGGCCCTTTTACATGTCTACACACATACACACACAAAAATAATCAGAAAGTCAACAAGAGCTGTAAGGAAGATTCTAATCTCACTTAGCCATGTATACAGACAAACAGTCAGAGTCACCATCCAACCCTGATATAGCCAAACTCCTCACCAAAAAGCCTTTGTATATTTCCAAAGAGTGATATATGAAATTTATCAAAATAAATAGGCTTGTCAAAATCTTCATAGATGTTCAAAAGCAGTAATTTCTGTTATTTCTTTCTAAAGTCCTCCATATTTTCTTGAATGATAGTCACAGATGTGATTAAAATCTAATCAAGAATCTCTCAGATGAGAAGAAGAATGAAAAGCCCTTTTACTACTGCTCAGTTTACCTCAAGTGAAGAATTTTGAAGTTTCCCAGTTAGGACTTCTTTCTCTTTCTCTAGTTGCTTTAGTTCACACTCAGATTTTCTTTTAAATTCCTCCAGCTGTGTCTGGAGCTCCTAAAGTAAAAAAAAAAAAAAAGGAAAAAGAAAAAAAAAGAAAAAAGCATGCAATAGCTGGGACATGCAGCATGAAAAAGAAAGAACAATTCTTCTACATTAACCTAGATAATAGAGCAGTTTACACAGTAATACATGCTACTGTCTTTTCATGTCACTCATGTATTATTCAATCAAAGAAATATTAACAGTTTGGTTTGCTTCTTTCTAATACTACTGTTAGACAATACAGCCCACATAATCCTAATCTTCTACTGAAAGGTTCCCTGACGTGGAAAACTGTACAGTGTGAAGAGCCAGACTGTTTTGCCTTCTGTGTTCAAAAAAAATTTAGTATGCAAGAGTCACCCACAAGATCTGAAAAAACATAAATATACATTGACCATTGACCAGATGACTGACTAATGGGCAATTAGTGGAAAAGGGAATCAAAGGAAGCACTATTTTATAGCATCCATAAAGAAAATCCCAGTGAGGAAGTAAAAGTAAAATACAATAAAAAATTGAAGACTTACTGCTGGAAATAGTTTTGAAAGATCAATGATAATACCACTTGCAAGACAGTGACCAAGAGCTTGTAGCAATCGTTTGTAGCAAATGCGAGCAATTGTTTATTGTAGAAAGTCTGAATGTGCAACTTCTAGAAATGTCCTGAAGTGATATATATTACAAGCTTATTACTGTGGTTGCTCTTCCTATTTGTGCCAATTTGCAGACTCAAAAAAATATTCTACCATATTTTCAGACACCACAAATGGAGGAAACAGGGAAAAAAATAGTAATGTAACACCTCCTTCATCCTGCATAGCCCCTTCTCACAGCCCCCCTGTCCCCATTTTTATAGCACAATGACTTAAGAACTCAAGATAGCAGAAAAAGTACCTAAAAACTAAGAAAGTGATAATCATTGGGAGGATGGCATGATACTAGAAAACAGAAACACAGGCAATAGTGACGTATTCTTTGCAACTCAGAATTAAATAAACGAGAATACATTAGCATTTCACAGTTTAAAAACCAGGTAACTGTTAGGTAGCAATTAAAGGATGGAATCAAACACAGAGACATGAATATTGCAAGGGAGAAATTAGCTTTAGTTTTGCCTGTAAGAAAAGGAGAGGATACAATGGTCTTTCTGATTAAAACCTGAAGATGAGGTGTTTGCATCATTCCCACTGCAACTCTGCCAACAGATTTCCTTCTATATATCTTAATTTTCTAACTGGAAAATAGATATAATACTTCTCAAACAGCTGTTACAGGCCTTAATTGCATCAGAGGATATAAATAGCATTAGTAATGAAAAATATTGTAATTTAAGTATTGTAATAAGTAAGTTTTACTAACTCAAGATTTTCCTGATGTAATTAATATGAATCTCTAAGAAGATATGGTTATAAGCAATAATATATATTGCCTATAAGCAATAAATGCCTAGTATTACGCCTTTTTTACTAAACTATAAAGTGTTTGATATTTAAATTTAATCTGACTCACATGAAGAGCTTCAGCTTTGCATCATTTTAAGTATACCTGTACAAACTTATTCACATAAAAGAATACACTATATAAAAGGCGAAGTCCTTTTCATAAGGCTTATACTTGATATTGTAACTGTGTACCTTGAAGCACTGCATCTTCACATACTGATCAAACATGAGCACTTTCACAAACAGATGAAATAATTTACTGACACAGATTCCTTTTTGAGAAATGAGATTGCATAAATGTATAAACTTCAGCAGTTTCACAGGCAGAAATGAATTCTTCTGATGAACACTTAACACAATTCCTACTCTCCAAAATCTAGAAGGTACTATGAAGCTGAACATTTAGTGATAGAAGCTGCATGCTTTTTATGACTTCACAACTTGTCAGCAAGCAATTTGATTATTCTCAAGTAAATGTTGAACTCAGGAAGGTATAGCAGCATTAAAACTGGGAAAAATGGGTGGAAGTACATTCTTAGCACCAAGAAGGGTCTAAAGAACAGTTCACCAGTAGTCTGTCCAATTCTACCAACTGCTCTAATAAAATTCTTTTGTGTCTTGAAGATGTCTGACAAACACACAAGTACATTAGGAGACAGAAACTAAATTCCTCCTTATGCCCAAATTTGGCAAACTGCTTGGCCATGCACCGAGTTGTAAGCTTCACTAAGCATTAAAGCATGTGCTTACAACTAAACACGTGTTTCAAGGTTTTCCTCCTTTTGAATAGATTTCAGCTCACATTGAGGTTCCTACTGCACAGAAACATTACAGATGGCAAATTTCCTGAAGCCAGAGGGTTCAGCCACAGACAGCAGTTCTCATGAAAGTGAAATTCTCTGAAGAATCTCTTAAGCGAATCACTGCTAATGCATACCGACAACAAAAATTACAGCTCAGACACTTAAAACGCATTGAGATAAGATATTGCTCAGGCAACCTGTCTGGATCCACAAGATGAGCATTCTTTCTGACTAAAGTTAATTAAGGATGTATGCATACATATACACATATATATACATATGTATACATACATATATGCATGTATCTGTAACTAGTCGTCATTTCATTGGTAACACCTGCACTCTGAATCCATCTACCAACACTTCACAGAATTAGATTCTCTGCCTAAACAATGCAAAATTTTTATTAAATCAATGTATCTGAGTATTTCACAGCAGCAATCCATGGAAATTTAAATCAGAAATTGGAATACACCTACAATACATTTTTCATTAGGAGGGACCTTATATTAATCACTCCAACTGTCACATGCAAAGCATGCAAGGATAAGTGTTGCTAAGAAGGCAGTTTATCACATCAAGGATAAATTCACCTTCCTGCCTGTGGAGCTTTCCACTGAAATACATCAGTTTGACTTTTTTTGTCCTTTTTTTTTTTTCAGTAAGACCGTAGCAAAAAAATCCTTGCATTTTATGTTAATTCAAAGTGCCTCCAGTGAGTATAATTCAAATGATGTCACTGTGACCAATAAGATTAAAACCAGATGAATTAGAGCATCTATAAATAGAAGAACATTCCTACCTTCTGCATTTTTTTTCTTTCAGCTTCCATGAAGTTTTAGACTGGCTTGCTTTCCTTTGTATCCTTCATTACAAGATCTTCCAGTCCTTTTAACAGGTATTTCTTCAGACAAAGCTTTTCCTTAGGGGACTTATGCTTGCCTTTACAAAGCAAGTTCTCTGTGTCTTTTATTCATACACTCTTTTTAATAGCTACAGTTTCCATAGTCTACAAAACACACTAGCTATATAATCTGACAAAACCACGGTAGAATTATGGGGTTGCAGTAGTCTATTTTGCAGTGAATATGCTATTTAGGTGGATATACTTCATTGAAAAATACTGGTTTTATTTTAGTCAACAATGTAAAACTGTAATGATTGAGGGCTGTATGCCTCTTCCGCAGTCTAAGAATGGGTTTTTTGGCTGTTCTGGTTTGAGTTTTGGTGTGTAACTCACTTCTAACCATCCAGGCTTCCTCAAGGACAACCTTAGTTCTGTGGAAAAGTACAAAGGACAATTTGGTTTTTCTTATGTCTCTGATGCCAGGTTTAATTTTCCAGAATGCTAGCATAACAATATTCTAGGAGAACTAAAAAATATAGAAAAGATTTGGGGCTGGAAAATTGCTTAAGGGAAGACATTGTATAGATGGAACTCTCAGGATACCTATATTCCTCATTGTACCGAATTTATTCCCGGTATTATTTCTGCATAGCTTTTCAGAAGAAATGTTTTATATATTTAAAAAAAAAAAAAAAAAAAAATCAGTATTCCAACCTGATCTCAACAGAGAAAGTCTGCCTTGGATCTTGTTCTCTTTAAGGTTTTGGTTACAGAAGAAGTTAAACACTCTGCCCTGGTCTAGATCAAAGACGTCAGTAGTTTCTTTGCTGTTATTGCAGCAACTCATGTACTTCAGGTTATGAACACTAGTCAGTTAAGAACACTGGATGAGGTCAGAGATCTGGGAATCTTACAGGATTGACCGCTGTAGAATAACCCAAAAGCCATTAAGCTTAAAAGAAAAATGACATTGTTTTCAGTACTTTTGGCACGCCATGCCTTTGAATATTTGAGACCAAACCACCTGTTTAAGCTTTTGCACATCTTCAGAGCCGCTCTTGTTCTGGCTTTGCTTGGTACAAGTCATTTGCTGCAGCTGTGTTATTTGATGTTTCAGTTCATCTACTTTATTAACAGCTTTGCTTTGGGAATTCAACATAGTTTCCATATCTTCTGTAATATAAAATTTACATTTCAAATAGCATAACTAACTTGCGGATTTTCCAATGTGAGTCACTACTAACAAGGAAATACTTTAAAATGACATTAATGAGCATCTTACCTGCTTTTTGCAGGATTTCCTTCTCTTGAAGCGTATTTCTCTCTTTGACTACACTTAGATCTTCCTCCACTTTTTTCATTATACCTTTTGATCTCAGAACTTCTAGTTGTGTTCCCTTAAGCTACACTTCCGAATCCTAAAATATGCATGACATTACTTCTACATTTATTGCATATGTTCTTTTTTTGTCATCTGAAATAAACGGTCATTTTCTCTCTTGATGTACTTCCATGATACAAATCTTTCACCTACAGAGCTGGTTTAAATGCATTTTTTGCTCTTCCATACCCTTAAACTATTTCTGCTGTAAGAATATTTGTAATGTGGAGCCATTCCCTCAGATGTAGTAGGCATCACTGTAAAGTGAACACTCATCAAGAGTTACCATCTAAGAGATGTCTGAGATCATCCTAAACTTGGAACAGGATATATTTCCATTAATTTCAAGACAACTTGTGCCAAAAGTTAATGAATATTAGTTTGGGTTTTCTTCCGGTTGCTGAAGTACAATAGTTTGTAACATAATCCATAATACAGATGCCTAAAACCAGAAAAATTGGCTCCTACAGACTCTGCTGGGAATTGTCTGTCCATAACTAAAGGCAAAAATTTAATGTTCTATTTCTGGAGGTTCTAGTCTCACTTTCCAGATACCTAGTAATATTCACTCAGACAAAATTGCCATTTGTTCCTATATGAATGTGGAGTAAAACCTCATGGGTTAAAACTAACTTGTATTTGACACTCTCTCTAGTTGAAAACTTAAAGGTAAGCTTGTTCCTTTTACCTCTGGCATATGCCAAAATTCTTCCAAAACTAGACCGAACAGTTCAGACTTAATGACTTGTCAACTGTTGTATTCTCTCTTCCACAATAATAATAATGTGCACTAATGTAATGCCTTTCATCTAAAGGTCTCAAACCTCTTGGCATACACTAAGGAGAAAAGAGAAAATTCATCTTGCTTAAACATCAGTCCTTTTATCTTTCAAGCCTTATAATAGCTTTCCTTGCTAGTATTTACTAATGATCAGAGGTATTAATGATTAAAGAAACATTTCTGTTTCCCAGTCTGCCCTTGTCCACAGGATTCAAGCTCTGGTCATCATGGGGGACTTCAACTACCCCGGTATCGGCTGGAGGGACAACACAGCAGGGCATAAACAATCCAGGAGGTTCCTGGAATGCATTGATGATAACTTCCTTCTCCAAGTGATAGAGGGGCCAACAAGGAAAGGTGCTATGCAGGACCTTGTTCTCACCAGCAAGGAGGGGCTGGTGGGGAATGGGAAGCTTAAGGGCAGCCTTGGCTGCAGTGACCATGAAATGGTGGAGTTCAAGATCCTTAGGGCAGCGAGGAGGGTGCACAGCAAGCTCACTACCCTGGACTTCAGGAAGGCAGACTTTGGCCTCTTCAGGGAGCTGCTTGGTAGAATACCATGGGATAAAGCTCTGGAGGGAAGAGGGGCCCAGGAAAGCTGGTTAATATTCAAGGATCACCTAAAAAAAATTGTGAGAAAGCGTGGAACTGATGGCTATGTAACAGCTGATTTTCTTTCTCGAAGTATTTCTGCACTTCCCAATGGTGTTGACTATGTCATCCATAATAGTTCTGTCAATTTTTATCATGGCCAGAACCAGACTTTCATTTATATCTCTATTATAGATGATGAAGAAAGGTAATTAATTTTTCAGATATTTATTCATTAACTTGCTTCTGAGAAATCCTTTTTTAGCATGTGCAGTATGCCTGTGTGTATAATTGGAATTGAAAAACAAATTTCTTCAGTGCTGAAAAACCACCTAAATTTAAAGGGGGAGAAAAGAAGCTATTATTAGAGTTCCATAGTTCCTGTTAAATTTTGTGCAAACTTTTTGCCTCAGTCTTCACCAGCAAGTGCTCCAGCCACACCGCCGAAGTCGCAGAAGGCAAAGGCAGGGACTGGGAGAATGAAGAACTGCCCTCTGTAGGAGAAGATCAGGTTTGAGACCATCTAAGGAACCTGAAGATGCACAAGTCCATGGGACCTGATGAGATGCATCCGTGGGTCCCGAGGGAACTGGTGGATGAAGTGGCTAAGCCACTATTCATGGTATTTGAGAAGTCGTGGCAGTCTGGTGAAGTTCCCACTGACTGCAAAAGCCGAAACATAACCCTCATTTTTAAAAAGGGAAAAAAGGAAGACCCAGGGAACTACAGGCCAGTCAGTCTCACCTCTGTGCCTGGCAAGATCATGGAGCACATCCTTCTGGAAACTATGCTAAGGCACATGGAAAATAAGGAGGTGACTCGTGACTGGTGAGGGAAGATTTCGATTAGATATTAGAAAGAAACTCTTCACGGTGAGGGTGGTGAGGCACTGGAACAGGTTGCCCAGAGAAGCTGTGGATGCCCCATCCCTGGAAGTGTTCAAGGCCAGGTTGGATGTGGCTTAGAGCAAACTCTTCTAGTGGAAGGAACTAGATGATCTTTAAGGTTCCTTCCAACAAAACCATTCTATGATTCTGAAAAAAATGTAGTATTTAATGGTGACATCAGAAATAGCCAATTTAGAAAGGAGAAACTTCTATGTTTTTATTAAAACCGGAAAGAAACAGAAAATAACATTATGTCTAACCCTTTTCCTTCTTCCAGATTTATCCTAGTCTGAGGCTATCTCTTTAAAGATTCAAGGCAATATGCTCCGGTGGTATGTAAATCAGCCTCATTCCATAGACTTAGAGGATCTGAAGTGTAGAAGTTGAGCATATGTCCCTCAGAAAATATTTCAAAAATCCAGCTGATACTGAATTTAGAAATCAAATTGCTAATGACACCACCTTCTTATTTCTAGTTCCTATCATGTTTTACAAAATTTATTCCTAAAAGACTGCATTTCTTATACGATAAATCAGAACAGTAAACCACATGCATAAATATTCACGTCTCCTTTCTTAATTTCTCCTGAATGTTACTTCAAGTACCCACAAGAAATCAGGATCTTACTTTCCCTCTTCCCTTCTATTGCTTCTAACTTCTACAGAGCCAGGACACTTTTCCTTATTGAAACAGATATTACGGATTTCTCCGATTCAATTTTAAAAAATGGCTTATATTCATCTCTGCCATTCATTATATCCTCTCCACTTTCCTGCAGAAGATAGAGGTTGTTCTGCTACAGATCTATACACTGAGAGAACAGAGTCTGAATAATGTTGGGGAATGCGTATTTGATTCACCCACTGATCTCGTGAAACAAAAAGGCAGTAACTGTATTGAAGGCTGAACTCCCTCAAAGAACATCCTCAAAGAAGATGCCCAGAACTCTGCACCATCAGCAAAACGATACTGACAGGCAAGATGTGAGTGCCAAAGGTGAAAAGGGTCAGAGTTGTCTTGGAAGAACAGAGCTTCCTGGGGTGACCTTGCTTTTTACAGGATTCTGGGTTCTCTGACTCCAAAGGAGACAAATCTTTCCCATCAGGAAACAATTGTTATTCTGAAATACTTCTAGACCTTCAAGGTGTTTTCTTATGTAATATGCAAGATTGCTGTCATAGGGCTGGGGACAGCTTTGGTATGGGAAGGACCAATAGTATTAGAAGGAGGTGGAACTGTTGAGCACAGAGCATGGCTGGGTGCTTCGGCTTCAGGCAGTTCATCACTGTCTTTCCCACATCCTGACCTTACGTACCAAATGCAGCTGGTTGGCAGGTTGCCCATGATGTGCCAAACTCTGAAACTGCATCTGACATGTGATGCAATTAAGCAGAAAGGAGCTGCAAGCTGTGCTGCAAATGTGTGAGATATATGCCAGCTAGGGTAGACAGGCAATGTGTGAGGTGAGAATTAACGGTGAAAGTCTCATGGCTCAGCACATAAAACTTCACAGGTGTGAAGGACACTTCACTAAATGGGACTTGGTACAAGCCACTGTTGCAAGAGTCATACAATACAAAGCATTTGATTTCTAACCTGCCAGCTCAGGTCTCTTTTCTAATCCTGTTCATATCCATGCACTGAGCTGTTGGCAACCACAAGGGAAAAGGAGAATGTACTCTGTAAATACTCGTTGCTAGCATTAGTGCCTGCTTGCTGTTCTCTTCACGTTTCTGGGCACGAAGGGTAAAGCTCTGTTCAGTCAACAGACAAATTTTAGCTCACTCCTCTCGCAGGGAATAGAAAGTCTAGTTTTCAAAGAGTTCTCCTAATGAGTTACCAATCATCTTAACTCTTTCTTTAAAACTCGCAGCATTCTATCCCTCCTACTTCTCTTCTAAGCCTCTAAAACTGCTTTAGTGTTTACATAGCATTTGACCCAATATGATATTTAAAAGATTCCTCCTCCCCTGAATTTTGAAGAACTGGTCAATTGCACTTTTATAGGCAGAGATAGGGATCACAGTCTCATACTCTACCTGTATTCTCTCCTTCAGCTTCTGGGAATGCTTCTTCCTCTCATTTATCTTCTGGCTTTTGACTTCTAGGTCTGCCTCCAGCTTCTTTACCTGCTGCAGCAAAAAACCTTCCTCAGCCTCTAAGCTCTTCCTTTGCTCTATTTCTCTTTGCTGACAATTCTTCTTTGTTTCTATCATAGATTGCTGCATAGCCTTTTTCAAAGTCTCTTTTTCTCTCTCACAAGAGGCTTGCAGTTTGCTTGTTTTCTGAGTATATTCTTCAGTTGTCCTCTGGTTCTCACTCTTCAGGTTTTCCATCTCACTTATTAAAGCTTGTCTTTTCACACTGTATTTTTCATCTAAAATTATTTTTTTATCTAGATTTTCTCTCCTAGATGCTTTGCATTCATTTAGCAGTCCATCAGACTCCTGATTTAAATGTAGAAGCTTGTTTTCAAAGTCTGCATTGGTATCTATCGTGTCTGTAGAAAGCACTGTTTGTTCTTGTTTCAGTTCCATATTCAGCTCCCTCTCTTCCACCTGCTTCTTGCACAATGTTAACTCTGCCAAGGCTTCTTCCTTTAGTCTCTTGTGTTGCTCTACTGCAATTTCAAGGGCCTGAATACGTTTTCTCAGCAATTGTTCTTCTTCAGCTTTGCTTTTACACTGCAGAATCGTTTCCCTTGTCTCAGCAAGAATGTG